TTTCTTTCTTTGTGGCCAGCTCAGCCCACTCTGGGGGTGGGGCTGGCGTGGCATGTGGTGCCGGGGATCGGACTGCGATCCTTGCACATTTGCCGAAACTTGCCTAAGCAGGCACTTTACACCTCTGAGCTATTTCGCTGGCCCCTCCGTGTTTCTTTTTACTATAACAGTATCACCTAGTCCCATAAAGTCTACCCCAAAGCGAGAATCATGCCCTTAGACTAATGAGCCATAAAGTCTAGATAGACTTCTGTCACTCTGGTAGGTGACCACGACCCCCTGATCAATCCCTTCCTAAAAAGATCTTGTTTTTTCTACGTATATTTGCTTGCTATGTGACCTGCTTCCCCCTTAGATCAATATTACTCAAGCAGCTATCCTTACAATCTTATTGGCTGATCATAATTTTGACCCATGTTGTACACACCTCAGAATTTTGCAGTATAAAACTGCCTTTGAAAAGTGGTTTGCTGGCAAACTTCTTTTGAGTTCCCTCTTTTCTCTCAGTAAATATTTTCCTACTTTGAACCTCTTGTTGTTTCTTAAAGCTCATTCTTTGATTTAGGGAACACAAACTCTACTCATCTCGGAGCTAGCAGGTTAGGAGGTGTGTAGTTTTCTCTATAACCCTACCTTCCTTCAGACCTTCCTTCTTCCTGCTGTTGGCCCCTCCCTCCCTCACTTCCATACAGCTGTGGAAACCCCCAGTACCGACCCTGGCTCCTCCTCACACTGAACCACATCCCTGCTGCCGCCTGAGATGCCTGTTCTCTGCCTGTGGCCCGCAGCTTTCCAGGTCCCTTGTGTGCCCTCTGCCAGCTGGAGTGGATGGTGTCCCAGCAGGCACTGTGGACTCAGAGCCCAGGGCTGCTGTGCTATCCCTGCAGCAGATCCTGCCTGGGCTCCCAGCTCGGAGGAAGAGCGTAGGGCAGCTGGGATCTCCCAGTTCCCACTTTGCAGATGATGAAGTGTCTTGGCTTCACTTGTGCCCTTGAACCACACTGGGGATGCTCAGTCTCGGCTGGAGGCTTTGTGGGCCGAGGGGAAGAATGTCTGGAGGGAAGTGTGTTATCTAGAGGCAACAAGGTGCTACTTACCGAAGATGCTGGTGGCACTGAACTTGAATCTGCAAATAACGTGGTCTGGGCCTTTTGCATTATGAAAACCTTGTCCAGTGAAGACCACCATGTAGGGCTCTGCAAGGATACATCCAGATGGGGAGTGAGGGTGTGGGGTGCTGTGTTCACAGCTGTTAAGGGGACTTCCAGGGACCCAAGAGGCAGCAGCTGGGTCTGAATATCTGTGTTTTCCCCAGACCAGAGAGAGCAGGACCAAGCATGCACACCTGGGAGCCTTCCTGTCACCAACCCTGAGCACAGACCATGACAGAAACCCACCTTCTAGGGCCAACTTGTCCAGGGCCTCCTACCCTAAATTTCCGTGGTCCTCACTGGAGACCCTAGAGCAGGGCTGAGATGGAGACACTGGAGGCCCCTGTCCTGCCCAGAAGGGTCGCTCAGGGGTTGATACCTTCCACACTCGGTCTATTTCTAGCCTATGCTACCACAACCCACTGCCCTGTGGACCCACAAACCCCTCAGCCTACTAGCATGGCCCTCCCTGCCCCTCGGGCCAAGGCATGGGGTACAAGAGAGGGCAGCTGGGTGGTCTCCTGGAGCACTCAGGCTGGATTCCTGCAGGTCTTCTGATGGTAATTCGCAATCCTTGGCCTGACAGCAGCCTCCTTACCCAAGCTGGGCTCCCTACTGTCCCCATGGACCTGGAGTAGCCCCATGTCAGCCAGCCCGGGAACCTGTTCTATAGCAGTCTCTCCCTCTCAAGCCCTGTACATGGACTGGCCCGAGGATGCCTGTCTGAGGGTCTGGATCATTCTATGTCACCTTGGATCCAGACTCTTGCCTTGGCTTCCTCCAAGTCCCTGTCACTCTGTGTGAGGCAGCTCTGCCCAGGATACCGAGCAATGTAACAGGTCAGCAGTGGAGCTGATGTCTGCAGACACCTGTCACCTCAGCTCTGCAGCTGGGAAGAAGCAGTGACACCTGGGGTTTGTCTAGCTATCCAGATATTGGAGCCTGTGTGTCAGGACGCATCAGCGATGTGCAGCTGAGCTGCTTCACACCAGAAGCAGGAGAGACCCCAGGCTGGGTCTCTGACCACCTCCGCCCCAGCACTGCAGCCCCTCCCCCCAGCATCAGATGGGCTCAGGATGCAGAGCTGAGGTCCAGGATAGAGAGGTCAAGACCAGGTGCTGTCCTTGACTCTCAGCTCCTACCATGTCCTGACGCTACCCCATCACTGTCCTTCCATCCCCTGATGTCCCCACAGTACTACTTTTATCCACTGGTGGCCACACTGCAGCTGAGATGTGTGGCACCTTAACCCTTCCCCAGGGCCATGGCTGGAGAGCCCAGAGTGAGCATCTTTCTGTCTGCCCACACGCTACAGCCACGATGCCTCCCACAAGGGACATGGAGGCCAGGACCCAGCAGCCTCAGAGGCTAAGGTGTCACCTGTGGGAGAGAAGCCTGACCACTCCCTCCCTCCACCTGGTTTCAGAAGCCAGCCACATGGTGACCATGGCTACACACAGGTGCCTGTGACACATAGAGGTGGCCTGTCACCCTGCTGGGTGGCCTGTGCAGAACTGCCCCACACAGAGTGTGCGGACTTGGGGGAAACCAAGGCAGGAACCTGGGCCCCAGGTGACACAGAATGGGCCGGGTCCTCAGGCCAGCATGCAGAGCCAGTCCATGTGCTGGGGTGGAAGGAGAGTCTGCCACAGACTGGGGCCCTGGGCTGGTGATCTGAGGGGATAGGAACAGCCAGGCCTGCATCAGGAGGCTGCTGTCAGGCCAACGAACTGGACCACATAGAAGTGACTGCAGTGAGCTAAGGTGGAAACTGAGCTGGACTGGGGGCACCCTTGTCACCTCCTGCTCTGGGGACAGGTGCAGCTATTCCCCTCAGGGGTGGGTGTCCCCTGGCTGGTTGTGGATGCCTGGTCAGGCATGGAGATTTCCTTCCTCTCTGGCCCAGTGCTGGATTCCAGTGCTTTTGCTTCATCCTGTGAGGTGAAGCCTTACATTTGTTCCCATTTGGGGACATGAAAACTTTATATATCAAACCCCAGGTCTGTTTATCCCTTTTTCCTGAGTGTCTGGGTTGGCCTATTCAAATGCTATTCTATCCAATCTCTCGGGTGTCCTTCAGCATCATTAAAACAAACTTCCTATCTTCACAACTAACACTTGTGTTGTGCTCAGCTACCAGTAACTGCAAGTGCACACTCACACTGTTGTGGGCTGTCTCTAGATGCCCCCTAAAGCCTCATGCAGTCCCAGGTGGGGCTTTGCAGAGGTGGCTGGATCAGGAGTGTGCGATTGATTGATGGTGCACTGCTGGGATCGGGGTGATGGTTACTAAGTCCAGTGACTGGCTTCTCCCTGCCCTGATCCTGGTAGCCTGATTACAATATAAGGGACAGAAAGACACTTGTCTTGTCCTCTTGCTTGCTTTGCTAACTTCTGCCTGCCATGGGCTATATCTTCTCTGCCTTGGAGCCCGCTGATGATGCATGAAACCTCTACAAACCCTGAGCTAAGTAAATCTCTCCTTCTTTAACTTGGGGGGTCGAGTATTTTGTCTCAGCAATGAGAAACGTAACTAAGACACAAATGGGCACCCAACACACATGCAAAGTGTACATTCCATATATAACCAGTGCACATTCAGGAGAAACATTCACTTCCATCCCACATCAGATGCACGCCACATCCGCGGGGACACACACACACACCCATCCATGCACACTCACAGTGCACCACAAGCACACCACGCAACAAATATCCAGTCACACATCACACTATGTACCTAAATACAGTGCTCCCAACATGTACCACAAACCACCCCACATACCACAAACACGCACTGTGCACAGCACAAGAGCATGCACCACACAATCCTACACTCACACCATGCCTTCCACACACACATTCTGCAAGCACAGGACCCAGCACTCCCATACACTAAATACCATACTCACCACCAGTCATATATGTACGTACCACACACCATGTACCACATATAAACTCAGAAATGCGCCACACATCACAAAAGCATCGTATTCCATCCATGCACACTTCGTTCCTCCCACAACCCCCACACAACACATCACAACCACAACACAAACACACTGGACAGCCTCTGTTGATACCCATTTGCACCACTGCCTCCACAAACCTCACACACTTCACATACACCACACATAATACAGATACTGCTCACACACACACACACACACACACACATTCATGCCACACACACAGTATATACATGACCCACACCACTAACACCAACTGTACTCCACACACACTCATCCCACAAAACACATATCACACACATACACAACAGCCCCACATCATCCATTTCCCTACATTCCATGACACACAGACTATAGGTACACACACTACACCCTGCATACCCAGCACCCAGACTCCCCTAACACATACCACACTAGTACGTGTAGGACACAAGCTACACACACCCGATACACTCTCCACATGCTTGCCACACTCTAATACCACAGCTACACACCCCTATCCACTCCCCTAGCATACTACACACACGCGCATCATGAACCTTTCTGTCACGTAGACACAAAACACAACAACACATGGCACTATAACTGCCAGATGGATTAAGGTGCCTGCCAGCTCTATAGGCCCGTGGCCCTTACCTCCCACGCATGGGGAGGATGGTTCCACCGATGTCACCTCGAGACAGGACTTCGAGACCAGCTGTACACAGGGCACAAGGAGGGGCAGGAGTGTGATGCTCAGGCCCCAGTGATGCCCCCGCTTGTTCCCAGGTGGCCTGACTCACTGAGTTCACGATGTCCTGCAGACCCCTGAAGCCACCGTTCACCCCAAACATGTGTCCTGGCGTGTCCGCAATCTCCATCATCTGTGAGGAGAAGGGTCAGCTTGATGCCCGGCCAAGACCTCTTGGGTGCCTCCAGATCCAGGGCAAGGGGGCAGGGTCTTGCCCTCGGGCTTGGGGACAGCGGAGAGTCAGATGTTCAGGGACAGCCTGGTTCCTGCGTCAGCCTGGGCTCAGAGAGGAGGACACTTTCTACCTGGTCTGTGGGGTCCTGTTTACTCAAGCCCCTTGGTCATCCTGTGGTGACTACCTGTCTGCAGTCCCAGTACCTGGTCTGCAGTACCTGGTCTTTGTCATAGTCCAGCACACCCACAGTATAAACGATGGCCCCCATGCTCCGGGACTTGTCAGCCTAAGAGGGAGGAGATATTTAGGATAATGCACCGAAGTGTGTGGGGCGAAGTGGCCATGCCTACGCTCACCTCCTCCTTTGTCTTCTTAAATGGTTCTTTCATCAGCATCCCATCAGTCAGTGCGATGATCACGCTGGCAATTTTCCTGCCTGTGGAAGAAGCAAGTGTTAGGGGGCCAGGTGGACAGGGCTCAGGAGTGACCATCGGGGGATCTGGGTCACCACAGGCTGCCAGGCCCCAGCACACTGCCCACAGCAGGCAGGTGGGGGCTCTCTGCACCATGGGCTCCTCGTACACATGCCCAGATCCAGGCACCTGCCACCCAGAGACTCTAGAGTGAGGAGGGGACCACTTCAAGGCCACTTTGCAAATGAGGAAAGAGGGGTTCAGGGTCCTTCCTACCAGTGACCTGAGCCCTTACTGTCCCCCACACTGTACACCCTTTACCCAGAGGACAGCAAGGTCACATGCCCATGCCCATGAAACCCAGCTCATCTTTGGGCATGAGGAACAGCAAGAGTCTCTCCTGCAGAAGGGTCCAGGGAGGGGTGCTGTCAGTACCTGCTGTGGGCACAGATTGTGGGGTCCTGGCCCAGACACTCAGGACTCCTAGGCAGGGCCCTGGACAGGGGACCCTCCTCCTCCCCAGTGCCAGCCCCACCCTGCCAGAGCTATCAGCCCACAATGCAGAAGGATATCTGTCCTGGGTTGCACAGCCCTGTGCATGGTTGGATATCAGGGCTCAGGAGCAAGCAGGTGATGAAAGATGGGACAGAGAAGGGGAGGGAAACCTCAGGGATGATGTGGGCCCCTCACTGTGTCTTCAGGCTGCCGGAACTCTGTACTTTCTCCTTCTGTATGCAGGGCCCAATGCAGGCCCAGGAGCTCAGGTGACCAAGTGCCCTTCGTGGGCCCATGGGGCCTTCTGTCCTGGGAGGACCATGCTGGGGCAGGCACACTGCCTGCCACACAGGACTGGGCTTGGATGACTGTGTTGTATTGTGGGTCCCTGATGTTGCCTTGAACCTTATGTGTCAAAAGCTTGGTCCACAGCTGCTGGTGTTATTGGGACCTGGTGGAAATTTTGTGGGGTAGGACCTCACTGGTGGAAGTAAGCTTTGTGGGGTGAGCCCCAGAGGGGTGAGTCCTGTGCCTGGCTCCTTCTTGCTCTCTCCTTCTCCTCTCCACTGGGAGGGGGGCAGCTGTGCTCCACCCCTCATGGTGTACCATGATGTTCTGCCTCTTCACAGCCCAGAGACAATGACGCTGGATGGCCATGGACAGAGGCCTAGCAAGCTGTGAGCCAGAGCCATCCTTTTCTATTCTAAGTTGCTTTTCTATGTTGATGTGGTCCCAGCAATGAGGAGCTAATGCAAACAGCACCCAGAGTTGGGGCTGGGAGGAGCCTGCATCTGTACACAGACTTCCCTGAGGCCTACCCAACCTCAGCCCATTGGCCTGAGGGGTAGGCTGCTCACCTCCAGAGCGGGATATCTTGATCTGCTCATTTGCCTGTAAAGGAATGGACACAGGTTGGGGGCGGTACTGGGTCCATGTGGTCACACGCTACAGTGTTGAGGTGGCTTTACCCTAGGCTCTGGCCCTCCCTACCTGTTTGAACCCTTCTTGCATGAGTGTGTAGCCTCCAGGGGCCACCCACTGGAGTTTGTTAAGACCATTGTGGATTTCGACTCTGAAAAAAACCAAGAAAGAGATTGGCTGTTACCACACACCCAGCGCTGCCCCATAGACCTGTCCAATGACCATATGGAGGGGTGGCTCGCTTCCCTGTACTGAAGGAATGAATGTCTAGAGCTTTGTGCTCTTCTCTGTCCCCAGCCTGCTGAGCCTTTTGCCAGGTAGGGAAGCTGACAGCAGGTCCCATGGGAATGCCTTTTTCTGGGCTCATCCTGTCTCAGGCACCACACTCTCAGAAACCTTCCATGGACCCTGGTGAAGGTGGGACCCAGGGACAGCTTGAGTCCCGGGCTCCAGGGGTGCCTGCATGGGCCAGTGCTGACTGAAAATCGAGGACACCCTAGCTGAGGCTCTGTCCTCCAGCAGGGAAGGCTGGGTCTCACAGGTCACCAGCTCAGCCTGCCTTGAGCTGTCCCCACTACACAGACCCTGACCTGCCCTTCCCTTAGTCACCAAAGGAAGGATCCAGGCTGCTTTCTGAGCAGTGCAGGCTGAGGACCTCGTGCTCCTGACACCGAGGGCCTCAACTGCAGGCAGCTGAGGTGGCTAAGCCCTATGTCCAGGCAGTAGGGACTGGGCTGTCAGGGGCTATTAGAGAGACAGGGCCAAGTGAGGCAGGTAGGCAGTACTGGCTTTGGCTCTGGTGGTAGCACTGGGACAGGAAGCGAGGCTGGGCTCAGGCTGATCAACTGTGACAGGCTGAGCCTGCACAGCAAGGCCACCAGAGCTGGGACCCTGAGGGCAGCTTCCTGCTGGGACAGAGACCCTGCTGTGAGCTGAGCTCCAAGGGTCCTGGGCCTGTTCCTACCTGGGCCTGCTCATAAGAAGAAGAGGACCAGCCAGGCTTGCCCAAGGGAGGTCCAGTCAGGTCCTGCTTAGCCCAGCCCTACTGCCCTGCTTGGATTCTGCCAACTTCCTCACATGGTCCACTCCTCCACCTATCTTGCCCACTGAAATCTCTCCCATACTCACAGCACACCACCAGGCCTCCCCTGTGCCCATGGAGTCAGTCCTTCCTGGATCTTTCTGTCAGCTGGACCCAGGGGCAAGAGTGACTCTGTCTCAGACAATTAGGGATCACCATGGGGGATAGTATTGGGACAGAAGACTGAGATGGCACAATTAGCACTGGGCACAGTCAGTATATTCCCTTGTAGCATGTTGCATTCCAACAGATTCATCAGAAAATTCTGATAAGACCACAGAAGCAGGAGACGACCCGGGGGCCACGGGATCCTGAACAGACCCAGAGCGCAGGCCCAGCAGGGAACCCTTCAGCAGAACTCCCTGCAAAGAGGATAGAGGCAAGATCCACCCAGCTGATTCAGGAGCAGAACATCTTCCCAGAGAGACACAAAAGGTTCAACTCTAACGCCTGCAGCAGAAAGAAGTGGAGCACGAAAGCCAGATCCAAACAACACCCACTTGGAAGAATCTGAACTTCGTAGATCCGGACCTGGTGCTA